ATGAATTGCTAAGGCCAAGTGGTAGTAGCCCACACCTTTAATCCCAGCACTCAGGAGGCAGAGGCAAGTGGATCTCTGTGAGTTTGAGGCTTGCCTAGTCTACAGATCGAGTTCCAGGATAGCCAGGGCTACACAGAGAAACCTTGTCTCGAAAAACCAAACCAAACAGAAAATAAATAAATAAAATAAATTGCTTTATTTTTGGCTTGTGTGTGTAGTTTTACAGCCTGGTACTACATTTTGACATTTAAAATCTAATGTGAAGTAAAATGATAAGGGTGGTAGTTTAAATTTACCTGGTCTTTGTACTCAAGTTATACTCTGTGCCCAGGGTTACTTGACAGTGTGGTTAATTCAAGCTGTCTGTCCTTCTGTACCTTTACAAGATTACAAGACTGGACTCACCGACTCCTTTGGTTGTTTTTTTTTTTTTTAAGATTTATTTATTTATTATGTATATATCATGTATGACTACACACCAGAAGAGGGCACCAGATCTCATTACAGATGGTTGTGAGCCACCATGTGGTTGCTGGGAATCGAACTCAGGACCTCTGGAAGAGCAGTCAGTGCTCTTAACCTCTGAGCCATCTCTCCAGCCCCCTCCTTTGGGTTCTTTACACGAATAGAAACGTTACTGTGATCTCTGCAGTGATTTAACCCAACTGTCTCTCGACAGATGATCTGCCCAGGCTGCGATTCAGGTGCCCATACTGCACACATGTTGTGAAGCGGAAAGCAGACCTCAAACGCCACCTGCGCTGCCACACGGGAGAAAGGCCCTACCCGTGCCAAGCTTGTGGGAAACGGTTCAGCAGGCTAGACCATCTGAGTAGCCATTTCCGAACAGTATGTATACGAGTTTTCATCATTTTGCTTCTTGTAAAACATGTGCATTTATCTGCTCCCTCTCTCTCTCTCTCTCTCTTTCTCTCCCTCTTCCTCTCCCTCCCTCCCTCTCTCTCTCTTCCATTTCTCCCTCTCTCCCTCCCTCTCTCCTCTTCCCCCCTCTCTCCCTCTCTGCCTCCCTCCCTCTCTCTCTTCCATTTCTCCCTCTCTCCCTCCCTCTCTCTCTTTCCCTCCCTCCCTCTCTCCTCCTCTCTCTCTTCCCCCTTCTGGGACTGGGGGATTGAACACTGCATCGCGCATGCTAAGCAAGCTCTCTACCACTGAGTTACCTCCCAGCCTTGCATTTATCTATAAATTACATATTTATATAATTTAAATCATCTAACTTGGGCACGGGGAGATGACTCACTCACTTGCTACACAAAATGATGACTTGGGTGGATCCCCAGCACCCACATAAAAAATAATCCAGGGGGCTGGAGAGATGGCTTAGCAGTTAAGAGCACTGACTACTCTTCCAGAGGTCATGAGTTCAATTCCCACCAACCACATGGTGGCTCACAACCACCTGTAATGAGATCTGGTGCCCTCTTCTGGCCTGCAAGGACACATGCAGACAGAATACTGTATACATAATAAATAAATAAACCTTTAAAAAATAATAATAACAGTCCAGGTGTGCTGTGCACCTGTGATTCTAGCATTGGGAAGCAGCTACTCTGGCTAAATCAGTGAGCTCCAGTTTAAGTTAAAGACGCTTTTAAAAAAATAGGTAGAGGAGGAGGTGGGGAGGTGGCTCAAAGGTTAAGAGCACTGGCTGCTCTTCCAGCTTCCAGAGGTCTTGGGGTTGGTTCCCAGCACCCACATGGCTATTCACAATCATCTGTGACTCCAGTTATAGGGGATCTGACACCCTTTTCTGTACTCCATGTCTACCACACACACGTGCTGCACATACATGCATTCAGGCAGAACACTCATACGTATAAGTAAATTAATAAATCTTTTAAAAAATAAGATGGAGAGCAGTAAGGAAGACAGTGAACATCAACCTCCACATGTATGTAACACATAAACAGGTACACATACGTATAATACACAACCACAGGTCTAAATTCATGGAGAAAAATCTCTCACCACAACTCCACCTTGTTAAGAATCCTTGGCCCCGTGAGATGGCTGGGCAGAGAAAAGCACAGCACTGCTGCCAAATGATCTGTGCCTCGTGACCGGAGTTCCATTCCCAGAACCCAGAGGAACTCCACAGTTATCCTCTGGCCTTCACACACGCACCACGGCACACACATTCACACACACACACACACACACACACACACATTCACACACACATTCACACACACATACACCCCCACACCCCCACACACATTCACACACACACATTCACACCCACATACACACACACATACACACACACACATACACCCATGCACACAAATAATAATAAAATTTAAAAACATAATTGTTCCAGAAATGCTATTTTTGTTTTGTAAATAACTGCATAGATTTATATAAAGTTATGTAAGAATTGTATCCTGTGGTTCCGTGGGTAAGACACTTACTTCTACCACACCTGACAACTGACTTCAGTGCCAGAGACTCACACAGTGGAAAGAGAGAATCAATTCTTGAGCGTCATCCTCTGACCTTACATGTGCACTGTGACACATGTAAGGTGTCACACTAAATACACACACTAAATAAAGTGTAAATACATTCACTGGTCTTGAACTCACCCAGGTCTGCCTGTCTCTGCCTCCAGGATTAAAGGTGTGCACCATCACACCCTGCAGATATATATATAATTTTATTCTCCTTTGAGACCTTAAAGTAGGAGATATATTCTTTTGGTGCTAAATCTTTTTGTATTTCCATTTTAGTTCGTGTCAAATCTCATCTGGTTTGCTATATACTTCCCTGCTGGGAGACAAAGAGTAACCAGAGTTTTAGGCCAGAATCACCATTTACCTAGACACTCAGCATCTGCTATTGATAACTGAGAGCTGCTGGACCTCTGTCAGGGGCTGGGTCTGACCTGTCTCCACTGCACCTTCTTTCTAGTCTGGATCAGCTTCTCCCTCGTCTCCCTGAGGGAAAGAAGGAGGGAATCCCAGTCAGGGACTCTCAGGAAAGTGCTGGTCAGTGCTCAGTGCCTCATGGTTGTAACAAGGAATAACCATGGATTGGGTGTAACTCATGCCTCTAAGTGCTCATGAGGCTAAGGCATGAGGATTACCATGAGTTGGAGACCATCCTGGCCTACAGAGTAGATTCCAGGCCAGCCTGAGCTACAGTGTAAGATCCTATCTCAAAAAAAAAAAAAAAAAAAAAAAATCCAGGGCAATGACTGGGTTGGTAAAAGTGCTTGCTGTGGGAGCGTATGACTTCAGACCCCTGGGACCTGTGTTAGGGGCAGCTGCAGCACAGCAGCTAACAGGAGAGACCCTGCCTCAAACAAGACAGAGAGGAAGAACTCACACCGGAGGTTGTCTTCTGACCTCCACACACCTCACACACGTATACACACACACTAAATACTAAAAGGAGATGGCTCAGTGGTTAAGAGTACATGCTACTAGCTGGGTGTGGTAGTGTATGCTTTTAGTCCCAGCAGAGGCAGGTGGATCTCTGAGTTTGAGGCCAGCCTGGTCTACAGAGCAAGTTCCAGGACAGCCAGGGCTACACAGAGAGATCCTGTCTTGAAAAACCCAAAGGAGGGGCTGGAGAGATGGCTCAGAGGTTAAGAGCACTGACTGCTCTTCCAGAGGTCCTGAGTTCAATTCCCAGCAACCACATGGTGGCTCACAACCATCTGTAATGATATCTGGTGCCCTCTTCTGGCCTGTAGTCATACATGCTGTATACATAATAAATAAATAAATCTTAAAAAAAAAAAAAAAAAAGAAAAACCCAAAGGAAAAACAAAAGTACATAGTACTCTTACAGAGGATTGGGCAGCCCACAACCATCTATAATTCCATCTCAAGAGATCCAATACCTTCTTCTGGCCTTCCTGGATCCCCACACATATGGCATATGCTCATACAAACACACACACATGCACGTAAATAAAAACAAATCTGTCTGTCTCTCTATCTACACAAATATTATATTAAAATATATACCAAAAATGTATTCTAATTCCTGAATATACCAGCTACCAAAAATTCTTCTCTGATCTCCACATGCCTCCCATGGCACTCATGCACATATATCATGCAGACACCAACAACAATAACAGCCTTTTAGGATGGGCACAGAGGGGCATGCCTCTAGTCAGTTTACTTCTATTTATTATATATGCTCCCAAAATTTTCTTCTACGCATTTCTTTTACACGAGGTTTTGTCCCCTGTGTCCCTTAGTGAATACCTACCTTTCCACTGCAGTAAAATTTTATCTAGTACTTAGTTCAGTTCTGATTTCCCCATAGTCCCCGCCAAATACTTCTTATAGCTGTTTTGTCTTGCCAGAGTCAAGTCTATCTCATTGCTAAATCCCATTAGTGTATTTTTAATCTAGCATAATTTCCCCCCACACACACCTTCCTGCCTCATAACACTGGATTGTTGAAGACACTAAGCCATTTATTTTACAAAATATCCTACCTCTGAATTTCCTTGCTTCTACATAGTGTTATTTAGCTTGTTCCTTTACCCACCCTGAATTTCCATGTGCTGAAGTTTCATCTATATCCTTAATGGATTCAAATAAAACACTTTGGGCCAGAACCTATCAAGGCCAATGTTGCATATTTCACGTGTGACACTAGGATACACTTACTAACTGGAGGACTGATTGTGCCCACACATTGATCACTTTGCTGGGAGTTGGTAGTGTGCTCTCACCTCTGCACACTCACTCCTTCGCCGGGGAAGAATCTATGGGCATCTGATCAGGCATCATACAGCTGTCCATTCCCCCCCCCCCCCCCCCCCCCCCCCCCCCCCCCCCCCCGCAACCATTTAGTTAATGGTATTGTTTCCAGAGAAAGCGTGAATGTGGGAATGGCAAGATACCTCAGTAGGTAAAGTGCTCTCCGTGCCAATCAAACCACCCACATAAAGGCCAGGTGTACATACATATTCTTTAAAACTTATTTTTAGGGGGCTGGAGAGATGGCTCAGGGGTTAAGAGAACTGGCTGCTCTTCCAGAGGTCCTGAGTTCAATTTTGAGCAACCACACAGCCATCTATAATGAGATCTGGCACCCTCTTCTGGCATACAGACAAACATGCAGACAGAATACTGTATACATAATAAATAAAGATTTTTAAAAACTTATTTTAACACACACTCCACCCCTTTCTTGTGTGTCTTTGTCTGTGTCTGTGTCTGTACACATGAGTGCAGTGCCCATGGAGACCAGAAGAGGGAGTCAGATTCCCTAGAGTTGGAGATACAAACAATTGTGAATTGCCCAACGTGGATGCTAGGAACTGAACTCGGGCCCTTTGAGGGAGTAATATGTGTTCCTAAACACAGAGCCAGCATCTTCAATCCTCATTAAAAAATTTTTTTAAAGCATTTATTTTAAAATTTTTATATGTATGAGTGTTTTGTCTGCATATATGTAAGTGCATTACATACTTATCCCTGATGCCAGAGAAGGTTCCAGGTCTTCTGAAACTGTTTTTTTTTTTTTTTTGGGGGGGGGGGGGTTGAGACAGGGTTTCTCTGTGTAGTTTCAGCGCCCTTCCTGGAACTCCCTCTGTAGCCCAGGCTGGCCTCGAACTCACAGGGATCTGCCTGGCCTGGCTCTGCCTCCCAGAGTGCTGGGATCAAAGGCTCTTTTGTGTTTTGTTTTTAATTATTTGTTTGTATTTCATGTGCACTTGTGTTTTGCTTGCATGTGTGTCTGTGTGATGTGTCAGATCCCCTGAAACTGGACTTACAGTTATGAGCTGCCATATGGGTGCTGGGAATTGAACTCAAGTCCTTTGGAAGAACAGCAAGTGCTCTTAACTGCTGAGCCCTGAAACTGAACTTTTAAATGGTTGTGAGTCACCAGGTGGATGCTGAGAATTGAACCCAGGTCCTCTGGAAGAGCAGCCGGTGTTTTTAACTACTTAGCCACTTCTTCAGCCCCCATTTAACTTTTTGGGTTTTTGTTTTGTTTTGCTTTTTTCAGACAGGTTTTCTCTGTGTATCCCTGACTGTCCTGGATCTTGCTCTGTAGGCTGTAACTGATTGTCACAACACGGGTGTGTGGGTTCACAGGGATCTGTGGAAAGAAGACTCTGAGGCATCTTAATAATGAATTTAGCTTTTCATGGCTGCAGGGGGATCCAGCCTCGAAGGACTGAAGCACTGTCCCTTCACCTAGGGCAATTTTATTTCTCTCCGGTACAGTTTAGCCAGTTAATTTCCATATGCTCAAAACGACCTGAAAGGAGCTCCCAACGATACAATGCCAAGTGCACATCCCTCGATTTGTCAGGTACCTGGGATTTCGGGTTTCGCATAGGCCTTTGTATCCTTGGGGAAGATTCCCACAGGATTCACACAGAAGGCAACAGTGGAAACAAAAGGTGTCTGCTAAACAAAAGATGGATTAGGGCTAGATGCCATTCTCTGGAGCCAGGCCAGGTGCCGCTCAGCAGGAGTGCCGCCACAGTAAGCCAGGCTGGTCTCGAACTCACAGAGATCCACGTTCCTCTGCCTCACAAGTGCTGGGACTAAAGGTGTGCGCCACCACGCCTATCCATTTTTTAACCAAAGCATCTCATGACCATTAATTCATTTGGTCCTCACTTTCAGCCCTGTGAGTAGCATCCCCATCAATGATAAAGAAGCAGGCAGGGATAACCACTGTCTGATGTGTGAATGACCTATGGTGTTGGTCATTTAAACCTGTCTCCATTCAGGTTATCAGGTTCCCCTTTGTGGCTAACACCCTTCTCTGTTCAGTATTTTGACTGACAGCTTGAAAACTGGTTTCTCATGTTTACATTTGCTCCGAGATTCTTGGTTAATAGATGACAGAGATGCTGCAGAACCAGGATTAGGACTGAGCCTTCTAACCCCAGTGTGGTCCACTTCCTAGACAATCTTTTATTAACAAAAATAACCAGGGATCATTGCAAAAATGTTGATAAACTTTTATTATGAATTATATTTTTCTTCCTCTAGTTAAAAAAAAAATACATCACGTAGATTTTGGGTTTTTTGTTTGTTTGTTTGTTTGATCTCTAACTAAGTTAAACTATATAAAGAATCCTTAGAACAGGGCCAGGGAGGTGGCTCAGCAGTTAGAGGCGCATGCTTCACAAACCCTGGTCACCTGAGTTCAATCTCCAGATCCCACACTGAGGAGAAAGGAGAGAGCTGGCTTGACAAAATTGTTCTCTGATTTCCATATGTTCACCCTGGCATGCAAATGCCCCCCCCCCCTTTATACACACAATAATAATAACAACAACAATAGTTCTTTAGCTGGGCAGTGGTGACACGTGCCTTTAATTCCAGCACTTGGGAAGCAGAGGCAGGAGGATCTCTGAGTTCGAGGCCAGCCTGGTCTACAGAGTGAGTTCCAGGACTGCCAGGGCTACACAGAGAAATTCCATCTTGAAAAACAAAAAACAAACAAACAACAACAAAAGTTCTTTAAAGTCCTTAGAACGGTGTTTGCACATCGTGTTTGCAACTTTTACACTGGGAAGGAATCCCCTCCTTACCTTGTATGTCAAAATACTCTTAGGTTAATGGATGTGTGGAATTATTAAGTATTCAATAGTAATAAGGAAACCATTACAGCCGTTATTTAGAGGAAGCTGATATGTGATATATCCATGGTGTACATTTGTCACTAACACTTGGGATCTTTTCTGATAATTAGAGTTAACTTGAATTTAATGCATAGTTTTGAACATCGCAAGTGTATGAACTGGTCCCTAAATTAGCAAATTGACCCACTTGTGAAAATTCATTTTAATCACTTCTTTTTTTTTTTTTTTTTTTGGTTTTTCGAGACAGGGTTTCTCTGTGTAGCTTTGCGCCTTTCCTGGATCTCGCTCTGTAGACCAGGCTGACCTCGAACTCACAGAGATCCGCCTGGCTCTGCCTCCTGAGTGCTGGGATTAAAGGCGTGCGCCACCACCGCCCGGCCATTTTAATCACTTCTTAAATCTCTACACAGATCCACCAGGCATGCAAACTAATCTGCCGGAAATGCAAACGCCACGTGACTGACCTCACAGGACAAGTGGTGCAGGAAGGAACCAGGCGCTACAGACTGTGTAACGAGTGCCTTGCTGAAGTGGGCATCGACAGCCTCCCTGTGGATCTGGAAGCTGAGCAACATTCCATGTCCCCCACTGATGGAGACAAGGATCCCCGGTGGCATCTGAGTGAGGAAGAAAATAGATCCTATGTGGAGATTGTGGAGGACGGGTCTGCCGATCTGGTCATAAAACAAGTTGAAGATAGTGAGGAAGAGGAAGAAAAGGAGATCAAACCCAACATTAGGTAGCTCACTGCCGTTTACACGGACATCCTGTGTCTCTCCATGGGCAGAGCCCGGTTAATGGATTTCTCCTGCTGGCTTAGAAGTGACCTGATGTAACTTGCATGCTTTCTGAATAGGCCACTGTATCCATTCTGAACTGTGTTGCCCTGAAATATGTTGCTGCATTGGGAAGACCTTGCTTGTATTGGCATGATGGATGATCAGTTACCCTTTCTGTTATTACACAGATGCCATTTTCTTTAAATATTGGAAAAAAAATCTATTTAGCAAACTTTTTTTGAGTAAAATATTTTAAATAAATCTATCACAAAATTTAAGAATCTTTTTTATTTATTTTTATTTATTCATTTTGTTTGGGGGAGAAGGTGTGCATGTGCCAGAGCATGTGTGGAAGCCAGAAGAAAATTTGTGGGAGTTGGTTCTTTCTTACCATGTGAGATGGAATTCAGGTCATCAGGCTTGGTGGCAGGACCCCCTACTGTCACTTGCCAATAAACCTGCCTACAAAATGTTAGCATATTTTAAAAGCACATAGGTTATAATACTGAATCTCCCAGGGAACCAGATAAGACTGAATTCGGGTGTCTGGCTATCTAACTGCGGGACCCAGCAAATCTATTAAAAATTTCAAGTCTAGCCGGGCGGTGGTGGCGCACGCCTTTAATCCCAGCACTCGGGAGGCAGAGCCAGGCGGATCTCTGTGAGTTCGAGGCCAGCCTGGGCTACCAAGTGAGTTCCAGGAAAAGGCGCAAAGCTACACAGAGAAACCCTGTCTCGAAAAACCAAAAAAAAAAAAAAAAAAAATTTCAAGTCTAGGGTCTTGGAGAGATGCCTCAGCAGTTAAGAACATTGGCTGCTCTTCAGAGGACGCATGTTCAATTCCAGCACCTACATGGTAGCTCACAACCATCTGGAACTCCATTCCAGGGAATCTAACACCTACTTCTGACTTCTATGGGCACCAGGCATTCAAGTGGTGTACAAACATACATACAGGCAAAACATAAAATTAAAGTTAAAAAGAAATTATTTTTCCTGGTCTACAGAGAGTTCAAGGACAGCCAGGGCTACACAGAAAAACCCTAAATTTTTTTCAAGTCTGAAATAATTTATAACACAATTTTATTATCTTAAATAGTTCAAGATTATGATTGAAAGCTAACGTAAAATGCCTGAAATAGTTCATAGCTGGTGTTTTTTGTCATTAAATTAATATTACTCTTGAGTGGCTGGAGAGCACAACACAAGAGCACTGGGTGTCTTTCAGAGGACCTGGACGCGTAACCCCAGTTCAGAGGCCCCCAACTTTTCATCTGGTGTTCCTGGGCACTGCAGTATGTGGTGTGTATATAAATGCAAAAAACCCATGCATATAAAAATAAATCTTGCTAAAAAAATGACTCTTATGAGCTAATATTGTTGGGGGTGGATTAAGTAGAGAGGATGGAGGGATGGTTCAAAAGAAGCACGCTTGCCATGCAGGCATAAGGACATGAATTTGGTCCTCAGAACCCATGTAGAAATCCATACATGGCTAGTGCCATCTGTAACCCGTGTTCATTGGGCACATGGGAATGAAGAGATCCTAGAAGTGAGTTCCGGGCTCAGTGAAGAAGCCCTGTCTCAGGAACCAAGGTAGAGAATGGTAGAGGAGACATCTGGCATTGGCCTCTGGCTTCCCCATGCTTGTGCATATATGCATATGTATGCACTTGTAAACGCAAGTACACACACAAACTATGGCTCAGTAAGAGTACTTGCCCTGCAAGCACAAGGACCTGAGTTTGAATTCCTAGAACTCATGTGCAAAAGCCAAGCATGAGGGTGGGTGAATACAGGTGGTACTGAGAGCTTACGGGCTAGTCAGCCATGCTAAAATGCTGTTTCCGGTTCACTGAGACCAAGGCTCAAGGCAACAAGGCAGGGAATGGCTAAGGAAGACTGTGGACATCCTGCCCTGGCCTCCACACACCTCCACACACCTCCACACCACATGCACCACACACATAAATAATAAATAAAACCAGGAAGCACATGTTGCTAAATTCAAGGGAGTTTGTGAAGATCTGTAAATATAATTCTGTTCTTCTCCTTAAAAAGATAAACTGGAGAACTGTTTGGGGGGCACTCAGGCAGGGGGATTGGGATCTGTCCCTGGTCTATGGGCAGGCTTCTGGAACCCGGTGCCTGTGGTGTGACACCTTGCACAGCCTTGGTGCAGTGGGAAGGGGCTTGGACCTGCCTAGGCTCAGTGTGCTGGGCTCTGCTGACTCCCCATGGGAGACTTCGATTTGGGGGATGTGGGGATGCGGGGTGGCTTTGAAAGAGGGCTGGGGGGTGGGAGGAGGGAGGAGGGGGTCTTGCTTCAAAGCCCAAATTGGCCTCAAACTCATAATCCTCCTGTCTCAGTCTCTTGAGTGCTGGAGTTATGAAATGCTCATTGTGCTAGCCTGGCATGGTTTTAGGACTTTTTTAAAGTTAAAGAAATTGTAAACAAACAAAAAAACCAAAAAGCTGCTGGTGATGGTGCATGCTTTTAATCCCTGCACCTGGGAGGCAGAGGCAGGTGGATCGCTTGAGTTCCAGGACAGCCAGGGCCACATGGAGACTGTCTCAAAAAAAACAAAACAAAAAAAAAATTCTTTACATAGGTGTATAGGGATGCCAAGAGACCAGAAGAGGACATCAAATCTACTGAAGCTGGAATTACATGTTTGTAAGCCAGGCAACATGGGATGCTGGAATCTGAATTCAGGTCCTCTGGAAAAACGCAAGTGCTCTTAACCTCTGAGTCATCATTTCTCCAGCCCTGATATGTATCTATATATAATATATAGATATATATTATATATATATCTATATATTTATTTATTTATTTATTTATTTTAACATTTACTGTACTGTATGCTTGGGGTAGTGGTGGTGGTGGTGATTGTGGTGGTGGTAGAGGTGATGGTGATGGTGGTGGGGGTGGTACATGAGCACCATGGGACACACGTGGAAGTCAGAGGACAATCAGTGGGAGCTGTCTTTCCTCTGTTACCTGCTGTGGAGACTGAACTCCAATAGTCAGGCTGGTGCCTGCAGCCTCTGCCCAGTGAACCTTCACCAGGCCCTGACGCGGTGTGGAAACAACCTCTCAAGTGCTCCTTACTCTGAATCTGATTCTGCTTTCATGGTATTCCATTTATGGTATTATTTTCACAATTGAGTCTCAATAGATCATGTTAAGCGAAGGGACCCATTTAAAAAAAAACAACAAAACAAAAAAAACCCTGAGGCAGCCAGGGCTTGCCTATACACTGACTTGAGATCAGTTTAGTAAGAGTGTACAACTTAGCAAAATCAGACCTAAGACTGGCAGTCTGCCATAATAAAGGTTAACTAGTTCTGCATACTATGGAGTTTTTCTTTTGCTTTTAATTTTTATATATTTATTTTTTAAATTTTATTTACTTGATTTTTTTTGCGCGGGGGTGTGTTTCCAGAGACAGGGTTTCTCTGTGTAGCTTTGCACCTTTCCTGGAGCTCACTCTTGTAGCCCAGGCTGGCCTTGAACTCATAGGGATCCGCCTGGCTCTGCCTCCCGAGTGCTGGGATTAAAGGCAGTCGCCGCCACCACCCAGCTGCTTTTAATTTTTTAATTAATTAATTTTTTTTTTTTTTTTTTGGTTTTTCGAGACAGGGTTTCTCTGTGTAGTTTTGTGCCTTTCCTGGATCTTGCTCTGTAGACCAGGCTGGCCTCGAACTCACAAAGATCCGCCTGCCTCTGCCTCCCGAGTGCTGGGATTAAAGGCGTGCACCACCACCGCCTGGCTAATTCTGGTTTTTCAAGACAGGGTTTCTTTGTAGCCGTGGCTGTCCTGGAACTTGCTCTGTAGACCAGGCTGGCCTCAAACTCAGAGATCCGTCTGGCCTCTGCCTCCCGAGTGCCACCACTGCCCGGCTTTCAATCTTGTTTTAATTATTACTTTAGCACCTGGATGCTTGTGGAGGCCGCAAGAGTGTGTTGGATCTCTGGGAGCTGGAGTGACAGGCTGCTGCGTGCTCTAGAACAGCAAGCACTTTCAACCTCTGAGGCATCTCTCCAGCTCTCCTCTGCATCCTTTTGACGGACAGCTCCACCTAAAGCTGACCAATGTGCCTGAGTAAGGCAACGGTTAAGAAGCAATACCCTCAGTCATCCTGTTACGGTCAGTTTTGGAGCTGCTTTTCAGACCGACGCTCTTGGCCTCATCTTCATCAACACTACTTATCTGTCTTAGATAAGACTGAGAGAACGCAGCATTCCGAGACTAATGAAATCTGGCACCACCCAGCCTTGTGAATAGCTAGCTTTGCATATTTCATCCCCAGAGAATCCCTCAATAGAAATTAAAGCTGCAAATCAAACCCAAAGCATTTTCTGGTTTGGTTTTTTTAAGACAGGGTCTCTCTATAGCATTGATATCCTAGAACTCATTATGTAGACCAGGTTAGCCTCAAATTCCCAGAGATCCTCTGCTGGGATTAAAGGTATGTGCTATCAAGCCTGGGCCATTTAAAAAAAAAAAAAAAAGGCCGGGCGGTGGTGGCGCACGCCTTTAATCCCAGCACTCGGGAGGCAGAGCCAGGTGGATCTCTGTGAGTTCGAGGCCAGCCTGGGCTACCGAGTGAGTTCCAGGACAGGCGCAAAGCTACACAGAGAAACCCTGTCTCGAAAAAACCAAAAAAAAAAAAAAAAAAAAAAAAAAAAGCGCTTTTCTTCTCTAGTCTCTTCTTTCAGTCTCGCACTATGTGTTCAAGGCCAACCTGGTCTACATAATGAGACCTGGTCTCAAAAAAAAAAAAAAAAAAAAAATTAGCAGAAAACTGGGTAGTGGTAGTGCATGCCTTTAATCCCAGCAATTAGGAGGCAGAAGCAGGTGGATCTCTTAGTTCTTGATCAGTCTGGTCTACAGAGTGAGTTCCAGGATAGCTAGGGCTACATAAAGAAACCCTGTCTGGGAAAACCAATAAATAATAAACATAAATAAAATTTCACTTTAGGATTTAAGTATAAACTCAGTGGTAGGGCACGTAGCTACTATGATGGGGCTTAATCCTCAATACTGTGAAAAATAAATAATAAAATAAAATTGTCTGAAGTGTCTCTATGTAGGACCCTTCAGATATTTCTTACATATCAGATATTTCTTCTAACAAAATATGAAGTATCATCGCTGTTTAAAAAGAAGAGAGAGCCAGGTGGTGGTGGCACACTCCTTTAATCCCAGCACTCAGGAGGCAGAGGCAGGCAGATCTCTGAGATTGAGGCCAGCCTGGTCTATAGAGTGAGTTCCAGGACAGCCAGAGATACACAGAAAAACCCTGTCTCAGGGAAAAAAAAAAAAAAAAAAAGGAAATCAGGATGCTTCTAAGAAGTCTCCCCTCCTCTCTCCCAGCTGAGGTAAGAAGTCTTCTTGAGGGTTCTACTCAAAGAACCAACTGGAACAGAGGATGGCCCTGTCCCTTAGCAACCTAAAAACATAACCTCAATGTACATGTTCTCCTTGCCCTACACTTTTCTTTTTTTGAGACAGGGACATGTTATGTCACCCAGGGTAGCTTCAAACTCATTCTATAGCCAAAGCTGGTCTCAAACTCAGGCTCCTGAGTGTGGTGATCACAGGCATATGTCTATCATACCCGGTTCAAATTACTTTGTTTGAAGTTGGAGTCGGTCCCAGCGGCTCCTACACCAGTGGGCATTCCCCTGAGACCATGCTGGAGCGCTTGCATTCCACTGGAAGGTGTAAGGCACCTGCTGCAATGATCCAGTACAAGACTAGTCGTTCCTCATTATCTAGACTCACAGACCAAGACTCCACACTGGTTTTCCACTTCTGAAGTCACACTTTGATTCCCAGTTCTGTATTTCTATTTAGCAAAGACACTATAGAAAACAAATCATTGCATCTTCTCAAAAGGAAGAAAACAAATCAGTTCTCCGTAGGAGTCTCTTTTTTTCTTGGCATCTTAAATGTCGATGATCACAAACACCTCTGGCTTCTCCTCACTGTAGACTTGCATTGCCGAGTACGTTATTGCTTTGACTTCTGTTCCCTAATGTTGGCGTCAAAGGAAAAAAGAAAGAAAGAAACTGGATTTAGACTCTAGCTCTAGCAGGAAGTTTCTGGCAGAAAGTCAAACTGTAATTCTAAACAAGAAACTGGTGGCTCTCCAGTTAGTGCAGAGGCAAAAGCTGGTGTAAGACAGCGAGAGGCAGTCAGCAGACAGAAGGGGCCGGGCGTCCTGGAGGAGCCAGTGCTAATGCCCGCCCGGATGCTCAGGGCGGCCTTCTGACTGGCTGGACACGGTTGTTTTTAATTCCTAGAATGAGTCAGAGCAAACAACACAAGCTTTTCTACGCTAGCCCAGGGCTCTTCCTGTCCCTACCTCCTCCTCACACCTTGACTGCAGCCCGAGCACTCAGCCTGTTCTCTTTGCAGGTCTGGCTGGAGTGACAGAGAATGACACAGGTCAGAGCTTTCCCAGGCTTCTGAAACATGACAGTACCCCACACTGTCCAGTTTAGAACAAAAGGATTAGATGTCCTCTAAGTTCCTTCCAACTCCATAAAGAATCTCTAATAATAACGTACCAGGTAATAGGTGAATGGCACCTGATAGCTCTAATGCACAACAGATATGTCAAGATGCCACGGGAGAAGATATGTGATGTCATCACCTAAGTCAAATTCTACTTTCTGCCTGAGGCACACAGTGTCTATATGTACATCCACATCTCAAATGGTTCTTTACTGAGCAGTAATCTACATGGGTAGCTTTTCTCCTCCCAGGGACAATTCACATTTTCTCCTCAGGCATCTCCCCTCCATTCTCACTCTTTTTTTTTTTGGTTTTTCGAGACAGGGTTTCTCTGTGTAGCTTTGCGCCTTTGCTGGAACTCGCTTTGGAGACCAGGTTGGCCTCGAACTCACAGAGATCTGCCTGGCTCTGCCTCCCGAGTGCTGGGATTAAAGGCGTGCGCCACCACCGCCCGGCCTCCATTCTCACTCTTAATCAACAATGCTCCTTAGAGAAAGTAGGAGCTATCAATAATAAGAAATAACTCATATATATATCCACAGTCAATCTACCATCCACTTGGTCCTCAGATCTATCGTTCCCGCAGTAACGAATGGCCTGTTCCAGGCCTATCCAAAGCCAACTCTACCCTATGAACTGATTCCACAGCACCACTTACCAAAATTCTACATCCTCTCTCTCCAGTGTATCCCCCCTCCTTACTCATTTCCACTTTGCATAGAAACTTGCTGAAAGATTTACAACAAGCCCCCACGGTCAGGCGTGTCTGCATATGCCTGGCAGATACTTCCGCCTAGCTAGGTCCAGGTCCAGATAGCCATTTCCGGGTCAGGGCATCTCGCGTGACCAAGATCCATGACGTCCCACTAGCCACGTAAGCGCGCAGCGCAACGTGGCCATGTGATCTACGCGCTTGCGTGTAGTAGTGACGCTGATCTGTCCACGCCCAGCCTTTAAGATCTGGCGCCATGTTCCCGGTTCCCTTTTCTTTTCTACACACGTGTTTCCCGCAGGCCTGTTCACTCTCTGTCCCTTTACCTTTAATAAAACTCTTGTTAGCGGATTCTGTCGTGTTTCGTGGCATTTCCTTGCAGGGTAAGGACACAACGCAGCCGAAAAACTAACACTTACTATAAACCTCCTAGCAAAAGGCAGAAAATAAACCTTCTTCTTTATTGACCATAGTCCCCCCAAACCCCCACAGCTACTACTGTGTTACCAATCTGTCCCTTTTCTGCAGTCATTTCCAAATGAATTTGTTTGTTTGACACAGGGTCTCCATGTGGTCCTGGCTGTCCTGGAACTCACTCTGTAGACCAGGCTGGCCTCAAACTCACAGAGATTTATCTGCCTCTTCCTTCTGGGATTAAAGGTATATACCACTACACCTGGCTTTCCACATGAATTTTTTAAAGTAAAAAGAGGGCTGAAGCTGGAGCTCAGTCGTGGACCGTTTGTGTAGCACACACAAGGCCCTGCATTCAATTCCCAGAGAGACAGAGAGAACATCTATCCCAGCATCTCCACTGTAGAGACCACAGCTCTGGTGGCCCATGCCTGTAATTTCAGTCCTCTAGAGGCTGAAACAGACAAGGAGATCTCTGTGAGTTCAAGGCTAGCCTGGTCTACAAGGTGAGTTCCAGTCCAGCCAAAGCTACACAGTGAGATTCTGTTTTAAAAACAAGCAAAAAGTCCAACCAAACAAACAGAAAACCAGACTTTAAAATTCCCTCACGGGCTGGAGAGATGGCTCAGTGGTTAAGAGCACTGACTGCTCTTCCAGAGGTCCTGAGTTCAATTTCCAGCACCCAAATGGCAGCTCACAACCACCTGTAATGAGATCTGGTGTCCTCTTCTGGCCTGCAAGGACACATGTAGGCAGAATACTATATACATAGTAAATAAATAAATCTTTAAAAATAGAATAAGATAAAATAGAATTCCCTCACACCGGGCGGTGGTGGTGTGCTTTAATTCCAGCACTCGGGAGGCAGAGGCAGGAGGATCTCTGTGAGTTCGAGGTCAGCCTGGTCTACAGATCGAGATCCAGGAAAGGCGCAAAGCTACACAGAGAAACCCTGTCTCGAAAAACCAAAAAAAAAAAAAAAAAAAAAAAAAGAATTCCCTCACAATCTGTAACACACTTGATCCTGGAGCCCAATGGGACTCCTAACTGACCAAACAGATGCATGAGATCAGTGTTTTAATATATGCTTCTGGTAAGAGACACCTGGGCAAACCTGCCACTTCACACTATTAAGAATGAAGTCTACTTTCACATACGCAGATTTTATGTAAGAAAGGACGAAATGCTTTCAATGGCTAGACTTCTGAACATACATACCTGAGGGTGCTTGGACAATGAAAATTCTTCTCCCCACCTTGAGAAGGAAAGTAAAAACATGGTTATTATTCCTACAATTTTCTATTTGTTATTTTATTCTCGCCATTTTAAAGTAAGCCTTATAAATGTGGTCCCAAACTGGAGAAGCAGAAAGAGATGGCAGGGTCAGGGCAGTAAACCGCATAGATCTACCAGAGAACAAAGTTCATGAACCACAGGCTCTAGATTATGTCGTTTGAGATGCTGCTAACAAAATAGGGATCAAGCTGAGCATGGTGGCATATGTTTAATCTCAGCACTGGGATACACAGGCAGGCGGATCCCTGAGTCTAGGGGCAGCCTGATCTATGGAGTGAGTTCCAGGACAGCCAGGGCTACACAGAGAACCCTATCTTGAAAAACCAAAAACAATTGCTAGGATCATCTAAACTGAGGCCAGCTGCTGATTATAAATACCCCACCCCACCCCGTTTTTTTGAGACAGGGCTTCTCTTTGCAGTTTTGGTTCCCGTCCTGAATCTCACTCTGTAGACCAGGGATTAAAGGTGTACACCACTGCCACCTGGCACCTTTTTTTTTAACCATAAAAATAATTGAGGGCTGGAGTAATTGCTCAGTGGTTAACAGCACTGGCTGTTCTTCCAGAGGACCTGGGTTCAATTCTCAATGCTCATATAGCTCACAACTGTCTGTAATTCTAGTTACAGGAGATCTGACACCCTCTTCTGGCTTCTGCAGGCACTAGGCACACGTGGTAAACAGACATACATGCAGGCAAATACCCATACATATAAAATCAAATTTTGAAATTGGGACTCACACTCTATCATCAGAAAGAACATTATTTCCACAAGTTCTCAAGTCTGTAAAGCTCAGGTGACCTCACACTCCTAGGTGTCTCCCTCAGCTCAACCTGCAAGGTCTAGCCAAGTGCAGTCCTCCTAACTCACCATTTATATTTGTTGCTTTGCCCACTGGTAGCAATGGAGAATGTATTTTAACATCTTTCATGACTTGCTACTTAACTAGTTTCAAAACTTACCCAATTGACCGTAACTTGAAATTTTTTTGATCAATATTGAGCACTTTCACTTCCTAAAGAGGAAAAAAATTCAACGTTTTAATTCAATTATTAACTTGTTAATTAACTACTTTAAAATATTTTTTAGATAAGGGCTTACATTTACTCATGTGAGCCTCAAAATATAGCCAAGGACAACCATGCATTCCAGCCCCTTCTGCCTCCATCACTGCAGTGGTGGGATCACAAACGTGTCAGCATGGTCGCTTTTGTGGAGAGCTGGAGATTGAAACCAGGGCTTTGGGAATGCTAAGTAAGCATTCTTCCAACCGAGCTACAACCCCAGCCCAGAAAATCTTTACTTAAAAACAGAAGCAAATGCTCATAACCCAGCACTTGAACTCAGGCGAGGGGCCTGAGGCCAGGGCCACTTGGGATAAAGAGTAAGACCCTGCCTCAAAAAGAAATCAAATTCGGCTGGGCGGTTGTGGCACACGCCTTTATCCCAGCACTTGGGAGGCAGAGGTAGGCGGATCTCTGTGAGTTCAAGGCCAGCCTGGGCTACAGAGTGAGTTCTAGGACAGGCACCAAAACTACATGGAGAATCCCCGTCTCAAAAACAAAACAAAACAAACAAACAAACAAACAAACAAACCCCCAATTTCACACAGGGCCATTTACTAAAACACTTCTAGCTTATCACATTTCCTAGAAAGCAGTATCATATTTCTCTGAAGCAAAGAAAATGAAAACGTCCAGTAAAATAAGACACAAGGATAAGGTTTTTTTATTTATTCAAGGGAGGAATCCTGGAGAAACAGGCATTCTAAACCAGAACCCGGTGTGCTGCCAATGTCGGAAGCACTCGGGAGACAGAGAAACAGAAGGGTCAGGAGCTCGAGGCCACGCTTCACCACAAGGTGAATTTGAGGCCAGTTAGCTAGATGAAACCCTGCCTCATGTCAGGAGGTAAATGAGTCAAGGGGCTGCTGCAGGAACAGCTGTAGTGGATACAGTATCTGAATGTGCAAGGCCCTGCAACCTTGAGTCCAGGCATCAGCAAAGAAAGTTAAAAAAATATCTCCATAAAGGAGGAGATACATAGTTCTAATCACTGTCAGCCCATCTGTAACAAAACAGCCCTCTTCAGCTTTGTAGGACTATGACTCAGTGGAATATATGTCATGGAGTGATAAAGGAGAGACTACAGACTTCTGCAAACATAAGGGCTACGTGTCAGATGCTGGAGAAGTGCCCCAGAGGTTCACAACAGCAAGCAATTTCCATTTGGCTTTTCCTCCCCGCCCCCCATTAAGAAATCTAAAATTGCGGGGTGTGGTGGCTCATGTTTTTATTTTTATATTTATTTATTTATTTAGGTTTTTCGAGATAGGGTTTCTCTGTGTAGCTTTGCGCCTTTCCTGGAACTCGCTTTGTAGACAGGCTGGCCTCGAACTCACAGAGATTCACCTGCTCTGCCTCCTGAGTGCTGGGATTAAAGGCATGCGCCACCACTGCCCAGCCTGTGGCTCATGTTTTTAAGCCTAGCACTAGGGAGGCAGAGGCAGGCAGATCTCCGTGAATTCGAGGCCAGCCTGGTCTACAAAGTGAGTTCCAGGACAGCCAGGGCTGTTAGACAAAGAAACCCTATCTCAAACAAAAATATCTAAAATCAGCTGGACAAAGTGGCATAAGCCCTTAATCCAGCACTTGGGAGACAGGCAGATCTCTGAGTTTAAGGCCAGCCCTGTCTACAAAGTGAGTTCCAGGATAGCCAGGATTATAATTTAAAAAATCCTGTCTCGGGCCGGGCGGTGGTGGCGCACGCCTTTAATCCCAGCACTCGGGAGGCAGAGCCAGGCGGATCTCTGTGAGTTCGAGGCCAGCCTGGGCTACCGAGTGAGTTCCAGGAAAAGGCGCAAAGCTACACAGAGAAACCCTGTCTCGAAAAACCAAAAAAAAAATCCTGTCTCAAAAAAATGTAAAATCATCAATTGTTGAACTTAGGCCAAAGTGACAGAGCCATTAAACTTGCAGGGTAACAGTTGGAACATGTGCCTATAAACATAGCTGAAACTTCAACTTGCACATCAGGCACATTCTTTTTCTTTCCTTTTTTTTTTTTTTTTTTGACTCAGAGGCTCAATATGGAGCCCCAACTGACCTAGAACTGGCTATGCAGACCAAGCTGGCCTGGAACTCACAGAGTTCCTCATGCCTCTGCCTTCTCTTCTGAGTGCTATAATGAATGGTATATTCCACCATGCTGGCTAAGAAGACATTTTCTCTAACCAATAGTAGATAGTCTTATACAATTCTGATATCAAATACTATGTGCTCAGAGAGCTAAGTAAAAAAATGAATATACCTAGGCAAACAGGTTAATCAATAAAGACCAAATGGAGCTAGAGATTGCTCAGCAATTAAGAGTACTGGCTGCTCTTACAAAAGACCCAGGTTTGAGTCTCAGTAACTATATGGTAGCTCACAACTATTTCTAACTATGGTACCAAGACATATGATGCCCTCTTATGGCCTCCAATGGCACTCCATGCATATGGCACACAGATATACATGCAGGCACAACAAATGTATACATAAACTAAAAATAAACAAAACATCTTTAAAAAAAAGACCTATAACTTATACAAATCAACATTACCTCACATATTTTACAGACTGGTTTTTTGATCAGATACTTTATCTTCAATTATATGTTCAACTTTACAATATGAACAAAGAGCCTACTTGCTCAGCAAACAAAGAGAACTCTGGGCTTACCCGGGGTATGAAGTATTCATCAGCACTGAACTTGTAAAGCCACTCATCCAAAAAGTGAAAGAGCAGAGACTGCAAGTCATCTCCTACACAGGGTCAAAGGGGCCATCACAGGATGACGGTTAGTGACTCTGGTCTCTAAAAGCTTGGTTCAAGTACAGTGAAGTTCGTCGGCTCATTTAAAGATTCACAATCCATCCTGTTGTTCTTACTGCGACACTATGTTCAGATCATGCAGAACATTGTATACCCATCGAATAATTTTTCCTTGAGAATATCAGTTACCTTGGGTTTCTACTTCCACTGTTTGGAGGGGTTCCACAGTCCCAGTATCTGTCATGTAACCAAACATGGCCATGGCACACTGTTCAAATGCTTCCTCCAGAGTATCTCCCCATGCATGTAACCTAAAAAAAAAAAAGTTAAAATTAAGAAATAATTTTAACAAATTAAAGGGGTCACAATGTTTGTAACAATATAATCCACTTACAAGAGAGAAAATTCCACAGCAAAGTCAAAAGAAAATCAGTTTGATAAATATAAAACTAAATGTCTACTTTAAAGGCACCCAAATTGGATGCTTTTAGACCATCATTTTACATTTAGAACAAAATGAAATAAAAGGAGAAAGAAATACACTTGGGCCCGGAAGTTGGCTCAGCGGGTAAGGGTGCTTGTCACCCAGCCCAACACTGTGGTGGAAGCGAAGACCAGACTCCTCCCATTTGTCTTCTGACACACACAAACACACACCATAAAATACATAAAAGTGTAATTACACAATGGGGGAACACCTTTAATCCCAACACTCAGGAGGCAGAAGAAGGTAGATCTCTAGGAGTTTGAGGCCAGCCTGATCTACATATCTATGTAACAAATTCCAGGCCAGCAAGGGCTACACAGTGAGACCCTATCTTCAGAAAGAAAAGATAGAGGTGGAGAGGTGGCCTAGCGGTAAAGAGCATTTGTTGCTCTTGCAGAGGACCCAGGTTCTAGTCCCAGCACCCACATGGTGGCTCACAATCATCTCTAACTCCAGTCTCATCTGACCTCTACAGGCTGCAGGAACACACACTGTGCACATAATACACATTCAGGCAAATATCCATCCACATAAGATAATAAAAAAATCCTTTTTTTTCCCCCTGAGACAGGGTTTCTAGTGTAGCTTTGGCTGTCCTGGAACTCACTCTGTAGATCAGGCTGGCCTTGAACTCAGAGATTCACCTGCCTCTGCCTCCCAAGTGCTGGGACTAAAGGTGTGTGCCACTACTGCCCAGTAATAAAATAAATTTAAAAAAATTAAATGTAGATAAAAAATTAAATGTAGTTAAAAATTTTTATTAAAAAAATCAAAACATTCTGGGCTGGAGAGACGGCTTAGAGGTTAAGAGCACTGGCTTCTCTTCCAGAGTTTCTGAGTTCAATTCCCAACAACCACATGGTGGCTCACAACCATCTGTAATGAGATCTGGTACCCTCTTCTGCCATGCAGGTGTACACGCAGGCAGAACACTGTATACATAATAAATAAATTTTAAAAAATTAAAACACTCATCACATAGTTTCCAGGAATAATTCTTGCTGTACTTACTGGACATCAGCTGTATGATCCAAATCTGAGGGAGAAAGGGAAAAATATGTGTAAGCCACTGAACTTGACTCTCAAATCATACAAAAATAACTCCAGGGTATTGGCAGACAGCAGGCAGAAGCAGCAGTAAAAAGACTTCTAGTTCATTGCTACTCCTTCAGAGCATCATCCTAGCGGGACACTAGGCTCACACTTGTAATCCTAGGACTTAAGTGGCCAAGGCAGGTGGATCACAAGTTCCAGCCCAGCCCAGGCTACTGAATCCTGGACAACCTGGGTATACAGAAACATCCCATCATTAAAACAAAAAAGAAAAGAAAAAGAAAAGGCAAGGGGCGGCTCAGTGGCTAAAGGCACTGGACTGGACTGGACTGGACCACCTAGTGGAAGGAGAACACTGCCTCCTGGAAATTGTCCTTCAACCTCCATACTCACACTGTGGCACATGTACACATTCATCCTTCTCTCAGATTTTCACACACAGAGGTAAGAAATAAAGCGTATCGTGGAGAGATGGCCAGTAGGTAAAAGCACATGCTGTGCAAGACAGTATGACAAGAATTCTGATCTCCAGGACCCCTGTTAAAGTCGGACACAGCAGCACAAGCATCTATTATCCTAGCATGCTTACGGGAAACAGAAAGAGGAAACCATAATCCCTAGATTGGTTGTTCTCAACCTGTGGGTCTCGACCTCTTCAAGGGGTCACCTAACACACATATTTACATTACAATTCATAGCAGTAGCAAAATTACAGTTATGAGGTAACAATAAAAATAATTTTATGGTTGGAGGTCCCCACAACATGAGATCTGTATTAAAGGGTTGCAGCGTTGAGAACCACTGATCTTGAGATTCCTGGGCCGCTAGCCTGACAGCGGCCAAGAGAGCCTGTCTCAAAGAAGGCAGAAAAGTAAGGACTGACACCCAAGTGGTCCTGACTGGATGCACATGTGCACACACACCCATGAACATGCACACATACACTGTCACACCACATACATGACGTACATTAAAGCAAACAGAAAGACGGTGCTGGAGGGATGGCTCATCGGTTATGAGCACTTGCTGGTCTTGCAGAGAATATGGATTACAGCATCCATGGTGGCTCACAATCACTTGGTAATGCCAGTTCTGGGGGATCCAATGCCTTCATGGGTACTAGGCATGCATGTGGTGTTCATAAATACATCCCTCAAAACACTCATACATAAGAAAAATAAACAAAGCCGGGCGGTGGTGGCGCACGCCTTTAATCCCAGCACTCGGGAGGCAGAGCCAGGCGGATCTCTGTGAGTTCGAGGCCAGCCTGGTCTACAAAGCGAGTCCCAGGAAAGGCGCAAAGCTACACAGAGAAACCCTGTCTCGAAAAACCAAAAAAAAAAAAAAAAAAAAGAAAAATAAACAAATCTTCAAAAAATTAGAGAAAAAAATTTTTTTCCAGACAGGGTTTCTGTGTGTAGCCCTGGCTGTTCTTGAACTCAGTGTGTAGACCAGGCTGGCCTTGAACTCAGAGATCTGCCTACCTCTGCCTCCTGAGTGCTGGGATTAAAGGCATGCACCACCAGCACCCGGCTGAGAAAAAAATTTTAAAGAGTAGGAAAACGTGAGGCAGTTAGACCTTTTGCTATGTAGTTACTCAACAATATTAACTCTTTTCTAGTATTATTTTATAAACAAAACAACCTACCCGCTCAGTTCATACTTAAACGAATGGTAAATTCTGGAGTCTTCTAGGTGTTTTGTTTCATTTTGCTTTGGTTTTAGACACAAGGTCTCCCAATGCAGTTCGGGCTGGTCTGATCCTTCTGCCTCAACCTCCATCTGGAATGCTAGGATTATAAGCACGCCACCACCATGTTTCTAGGTATCCTAAAACATCTCAGTTGGGTGCAGCAATGGGTTCCTGCAGTACCAGCTACTCTGAGTCTGAAGGTGGAAAATCATTTGAGCCCAGTTGGAGGCTACCCTGGGTGACACAGCGAGACCTCCTGCGTGTTAGGTGTCTTAGACTTTGGTCTCTCAATAACTATTTCTTGCTATCAGTTACTTTTCCTGACTAGCTAGTCTAATCCTGAATAGGAAGGCCAACTCCACAAGACCGTACAATGAGTGTTCCCATAGTAAAGACTGGACCACAACAGCTCTACCGCTGGTCTCACTGAGACTGTCACCTCCTCCTCTTCAGTATGTTCTTTACCTATCCCATGGTTTTCATCCATTCTTTCCACTTGTTTGGCTTTGAGACAGGGTCTAATATATAATCCTGGCTGGCGGGAATTCACTAGTAGACCAGGCTGGCACAGATTCTCTTGCCCATTTCCCCAAATGCTGGGATTAAGGATGTGTGCCACTGCAACCAGCAATTCTGCCCACTAGCAGGAATTCTTGGAGGTCATTTAATATAATACCTTGACTTACAAAAGAAGCCTGAGGGCTGGGGATGTGGCTCAGTGGTAGAGCACTCACCTAACATGTGCACTGGTCTACATTTCATACTGCGTGTGAACAGAAAATAAAGCAAAGGAAGGAAAGGGTGAAGAGAGAGAATCTGAAATCCACAGAGAACGTATGACAGATTTTAGACTACAATGTTGTTAGAACTGCAGCTGAGGTTTTCTGGAGGCTTAGGCAGGAAGAGCATCAGTTTGAGGCCAGTCTGGTATATGTATTGAGCTCAAGTATAAAGGAACATAGAACGTCATGTTTCCAAAGACCACAGACCCCAGTGAAATTAATTTTAAAAAGAAAGGAGTTAGGGACGGAGGTCAATAGAAGGGTAGAGAATTATCCTCAATTCAATCTCTGATACAACAAATTAAATAAATAAGCATTAACACAAATCTCCAAATATTGTTGGGAACTGCAGAACTCATGGTATATAACAGCTTTATCAGAACACCTGCATGTGACCAAACTCTAGCATGGCTTCTAGTAGCATAAGGCCACATCCCAAGATAGAGCAAAAGTCTTAGGAACAATGCTTGCCTGAGAAAAGCCTGATAAAGGCTGGAGAATTCCCTCTTTGTTCCGGCCAACAGCTGATAAAAGGCCACTAACCTCCCTACTTTACAGCAAGTACCAAAGAAGCCTTAAAATTGTGAATATGTATCCTTTCCAGCTCCAAAGAATCTTTCTCAAGGATTTAGTTCTTTGAACATGTTATCATTCCCACAGCCAGGGGCCTCTTGTCTCAAGTCTGTGGGAGGCTAGAACTCAAACATCCAAAACTGCCAGGGAACAGACATAACTAGCCTTGGCCTTGTTGCTTCCACATCAATTATGACTCATCTTCTGTACTTTGTAACTTCTCTGACTTTAGGAGCCCTTGCCCTGCCTCCTCATTCTCCTGTAAAACAATCTCTACACGAACTGGAATGAATCTCAGCTTTCGCCATTAGTAGTGACTGTACTCCAATTTGTGTCTGCCTGTGTTATCTTGATGGGGTGAAGAAGCCCCCATCAAATAGAAATTAAATAATAAATAATAACCTGGGAGCATGAGTTCACTCACATGAACCTCTGACACAGACAAGTACACTCAAATACAAGAGAAAATGGGTAACAGACTGGAAAGAAACTGAGGGAACTTTCTAAGATGACAGGACTGATCTAGATCAAACCTAGGGCTGCTTACACAGGTATATCTGTTTAGCAGCCATAATAATCGGGGCCAGGTGTGGTAGCTCAAGTCTGTGATTCCAGCACCAGGGAAGCGGAGACAGGAGAATAATTCTAAGTTTGGTTAGAGTGAAACCCTGTCACAAAAAAAGAAAAGTACTTAACGCTTTACTCCTGTTTATGTAAATTATACTCAATTCTTTAAAAATTTTTAAAAAGATGGCATTGCTATATGGGGTGGTTCTCCAATTCTTTCATCTCAGAACTTTATGTTCAAAGATTACTCTAGAACTGAAGCTGTAGCTTGGTCGTAGAGCCTTGCTCTAGCATGTCCATTAAAGACAGAAGAGTCTTGTTTGTTTCTGAGACGGTTTTACTCTGTAGCCCTGGCTGTCCTGGAACTCACTGTGTAGACCAGGCTGGCCTCAAATTCATAGAGATCTTACTGCCTCTGCCTCCAGAGTGCTGTAATTAAAGGTGTGGGGGCTGACACAAGGGCTTTAACTAAAAAAGAAAAAAAAACATTAAATGCATTTTTATGAATAACTATATTGTCAAAATTTAGAGTGGTCTTTTTTATTTCAAATACAGTTGAAGGACGTAATATAAAATCCAACCTTGGGGTGTGGAGACAGACAGAGACACACAACCCACCTCGCAATCATTTTCCCAGTCCTCTAACATGGTCACATTATTCTGCTACTGGGAGAAACTCAAGGACGAAACTTTGAAAACGCTAGAGCGCTAGTATAATTTATAAAGATAAATGTTGGGCAAGCGCCATACCACTGAGCTGTATCTCCAGAGAAGATAAACGTGATTTAGGCACTCGTGGACCTTTAGGAGACTATAAGGGGAGGCAGAGCCTCAAGTTTCTTCATTCTCGAGTAAAGTGATCTTTTTCTTCACCTTCCCCCTAAATTAGGTACAAATGCGGGGCACACTGAGATTACACCAGGAGCACCTGGGGGGCAAGGAGGTGGGCGAGACAGGAAGCTGCAGGTAAGCCGCTGAGGTTGCCCGTTCGCAAGAGATGTGAGCCACCTACTCACATTCATACTTTCGATTGACTGGAGGATACTTGTCCTTGATCGCCTTCTGTTCCTCCGTCAAATTGTAATCTCTAACATCTTCCTTTTCTTGAGCCATGATTGCAGACTTCGGGATTCTACTTCCGCCCTTCAGCAGCTAGACTTCGGCCCTGCGCCATAACTTCCGCCCTACACCCCACCCCTTGGCAGTCTAAAAGGACCAGGACTCTATTCTCGGAGCTCGCGGAAGGATATTACCGCTTGCGTCCTCCATCCTAGGTTCTGCCACTTACATAGCATGTCTTAAATATCAGTAGTAAAAAGTGCTCTATATTCTGCACTTATTACCACTAGTTCTTTCTTTCTAAAAACTGAGGGAGTAAGTTAAATGACACCTTGAGTTAGGGACCTGTAAGTCTAAACGGTGATGCATTTTCTCCGCCGAGTTACGAACCAGACCCGGAAACACTTCAAATTTCTTTCCCTCCCCTCCCCTAAGGGAGTCGTTAGCATAACGGCCCTCCAAGAAGATGGCTGCGCACGAGCCTGTGAAGGCTAAACCCGTCACGTGATCTGTTCGGGACGCGTCCCAGCAGGCGGTGCGCGTGCGCAATCGGTGCCCATAAGCTCCGGACTGGGATGGGGGGGGAGGGGGCGGAGCGCGCGCCTCGGCCCCGCGAAAAGCGACTGTGTGCGTCTGCATTGGCCGCGGCCGCGGATGCCCCGCCCACCCCTCCGGACCGCGCTCTCCCATTGGCCGATGTTGGCGCGAAGGCACGCGAGCCGGCCCCCCACGCACGGGCCGCAGGAAACAATAGAGGCCGCGCGCGCGGAGCGAGCGCCCGTCGCTTCCCCGCCCCTCCTGCAACGCACGACCCCGGGATCTCCTCCCAACCCCTCCCGGCTCTTCTGCCGCCATGGCTGACAAGGAAGGTGAGTGTGCCGAGGCGGGCTCGGGAAGGCGTGGGGCGGCGGGGCTGTGTCGTGGCGTGTTAACGCGGCCTAATACGGAGAGCAGGCCCGACTCTGGCGAGCCTAATCCCGGCAACTGCGGCTTGAGGAGGGAGCTCCCCGCGGGGCGGGCTAACGGCGCGCTGGCTCCTCAGGAGCGGCTGCGGGGCCGACGCCAGCGCTCGGGCCCGGGCGAGTGCGACGCTCCCCGTCGGTCCCCCTGCCTGCGGGGACTCGGGACGCCGCTCCCCACCTCCGGGCCCGACGCGCAGGCCTCCTTTGGGGTTTTGTGGACTTGGCGCGCGCCGGCGCGCTTCGAAGCTGGGCAGCGTCGGGCCAGACGGGTAAGTAACGGAGTGTCTGGCCGGGCTGGCCCGAGGACTTCCGGCCTTCCGCGGCGGAGAGCGGCCGCGGGGCCTGCGCCCTGCGAGGTGGAGACGAATCTCCTCCATTTCGGTGTCAGGACCCCGGAGCCGCGCCGGGGGCTTCGAAGAGGTTTTACTCGCTTTCCGTCTCCGTTCGGTAACTTAATCTGTGTTTTAAAAAACGTTTTAGCTGCCTTTGACGACGCGGTGGAAGAACGTGTGATCAACGAGGAGTACAAAATATGGAAGAAGAACACCCCTTTTCTTTATGATTTGGTGATGACCCATGCCCTGGAGTGGCCCAGTTTAACTGCCCAGTGGCTTCCGGATGTAACCAGGTGACACCAATCTCTTGGATATTACTTTGGTATTTCATAGCTTGTATTCGTTTTCCGGGTTTTTTTGTTTTTTCCCTCTCCAGTCATTCAGAAGCGGCATATGATCAGAGCCTATAAGTAATGTTTATTTTCCTCTACCAATAAGTAAGAAATAAGGGTAGAAAACTGAAGGTTATTTTGTAATTTACCCTGCAAGAGAAAATGTGTTTTTCTTCCTCAGCATTGAGTCGAATAGCCATCCTATAACTGTAGTTGATGTGTAATGTTAAAATGTGACAGATTTCAGAAGGTATTTTATCTGGTTCATTCAATAAAACATTTGGATTCTCGGTCATTTATGATGATAGCAAGGTTAATAGATAAGTTTGGGGCCTGCCTTCAAGAAATACATTGTCTGGTTAAGGGACAGTTATTTGAGCTGTATGGTCCCGAGGCTTTAGATAATTAGTGAGGTAACACCTGAAGAGGGCTGGGGGCGTGTAATGTTTAGTGGTAGAGCACATACTGGCAAGGACTTTGATCCTTAGGCCATAGAGTGAAATTGCATACACAGAATGTTCTAACCAAGGGAACCATCTGTCAACTTGAAATACCAAGACTAGCTTGCAGAAGGGAGTGAGTGGGAATACAAGATAAAGGTGGGTGTATATTATTATTGATGTAAACTTGGCAAAACAGAGTACTAAATTCTTTTGAAACTTGGAGTAAGATATGTATAGAATCCGGTTATGAGACTGATTTGGTTCAACAAGTAGAAAATTGGAGTAGAGTTGTTTTGAGGTGCTAGGAATTGAACATTGTGCATGGTAAGCAGGCAGTACCTCTGAACTATATATCTGTATGAGACTGCTACTTATGCATCAGTGTAGAGAAAAATGGAGACCTCTATTTGAGGAGTGTTGTACAAATCCATGGCAGACACCTTGGGGTTGGAACTTTTTGGGGGGGGGGTTTTCGAGACAGGGTTTCTCTGTGTAGCTTTGCGCCTTTCCTGGATCTCTCTCTCTGTGTAGACCAAGCTGGCCTCGAACTCAAAGAGATAGCTTGTCTCTGCCTCTCGAGTGCTGGGAATAAAGGTGTGCGCCACCGCCGCCCGGCTTGGAGTTGGAACTTTTTGTTGTTGTGGTTTTGGGTTTTGTTTTGTTTTGTTTTTTGTTTTTTTTTTTTTCTCTCTCTCTCTCTCTCTCTCGAGACAAGGTTTCTCTGTGTAGTTTTGATGCCTGTCCTGGATCTCTCTCTGTAGACCAGGCTGGCTCCCTCCCAAGTGCTGGGATTGAAGTCTAGTGCCACCACCGCCTGGCGGAGTTGGAACTTTTTAAAATGTAACCCGGTTCAAAAATAGTTGGGAGAGGGGTTGGGGATTTAGCTCAGTGGTAGAGCGCTTGCCTAGCAAGTGCAAGGCCCTGTGTTCGGTCCTCAGCTCCGACAAAAAAAAAAAAAATAGTTGGAAGCTGCAGCTTAGTGGAGTCATTTCTATCTCTTGTCAGTGGTTGTTGCGAGGATATGTGGTAGTACACAGCTGTAGTCCCAGCACAAAAGAGGTAGAACAAGAAAATGGAGAGTTCAAGGCCAGCCTGTGACACACTTAAAAAAAAAAAAAAAAAAAGGCACAGTGGCAGAGCCCTGTGACCCAGCACTGTTTGTGTGGCATCTTTCCCATTTTGACAAAGGGGTTTCAGGTTGTAATGTACAACACAGTCAGCTGGAGGTGTTGTAAAACATTGTCAACTCCCCTCTGAGGTTTCTGATTCTATCGATGTGAGAATTTTCATTCCTTGACGTTACCCAATGGTGCTGGGGCTGTTGGTCCTAAGACCACACTGTAAAGGCTCCTTCCAGGGAACACATGGTATTAAGTTATGTCTCTTTTTTGAAACTTAATATTCCTTGTTTCTTACAGTATAAAATTCAGACTGCCTTAAGCTGACATTCAAGAAATTGAGCAGTGATTTTAATTATCTTTCTAGTTTTCTCTCATTTGACTTTTCCATTTCCAAAACTAGAGTTGGACTTTAGTCTCGGTCTGTTACTTAGTAGCTATGTGATCTCAGCCACAATGTCTAATTTTCCTATATATCAAATACTTTTCACTTCAAATTAGAATAATTCTTCATAGTATTGTGATATTTAAATCCAGCCCAGCATTCATTTTAGATTGTTTAACAGTCCTGGCTGTCCTGGAACTTGCTCTGTAGACCAGGCTGGCTCTGCCTCCAGAGCGCTGGGATTAAAGCTGTGCACCACCACTGCCCAGCTTAACTCACTTTTTTATTCCAACAAACTGGGAGAGAAGTAAAATTCCCTTTAGTGATTTTAAATTTTGGCAAAGTTAAATAAAAATTAAGTACTGTATTTGTGCTCTAGCCTTAATAGAGGGCCATTATAAGTAGGAAATAGAGGCTGGCAAGTCGACTCACTGGGTAAAGATGCCTATTGCCAAGCTTGACAACTTAACTCTAGTTGCCTGGAGAGAACAGATCCACAAAAGTTGCCATTTGTTTTATTTCTATTGGGGGTCATACATGCCTAAGTGGATGGGTGTGGGTGCTGAGGATCTCCTGGAGCTAAATTTCAGGTGGTTGTGGGTCACTTGGCATGGGAACTGGGAACTGAACTCATGTCCTCTCTAAGAGCAGCAAACACTCTTAAGTGCTGATCCATCTTTCTGGTCCTACTTTTTCTAAAGAAATAGGAGCTTTGGTAATGACTCACTGAAGTACTTACCTTGCAAGCATCAGGGACAGGCAGTCAATCCACACCACCCATGTTTAAAAACAAACCATGACAAACAAAAAACCAGGGTGGTATATGCTTGAAGTCTCAGTGATGGGGAGATGGGAAATAGGAAGATTCCCTCAGGCTCAACAGCCAGCCATGCTGACCTAATTGGTGAGCTCCAGCTTCGTATTAACAGAGGTGAATAGCTTCTTTTTGTTTGTTTTTACTTTTACTTTTTTTGAGACAGAGTTTCTCCATTGTAATAATAGCCCTGGCTGTCCTGGAACTCAAGTAGAACCACCTGCCTCTGCCTCCTGAGAGTGCAGGAACTAAAGGCCATAAATAGCATCTTAAGAGTGAATGACTCACCGGCAGTGGTGGCGCACGTCTTTAATCCCAGCACTTGGGAGGCAGAGGCAGGCGGATCTCTGAGTTCGAGGCCAGCCTGGTCTACAAAGCAAGTTCCAGGAAAGGCTCAAAGCTGCACAGAGAAGCCCTGTCTCGAAAAACCAAAAAAAAAAAAGAGTTAATGACTCCCCACCCTCACTCCACCCCACCCCCCCACAGGGTTTCTCTGCTGTCCTGGAACTCACTTTGTAGACCAGGCTAAGGCCAGCCTTGAACTCACAGAGATCCGCCTGTCTCTTCCTCCTGAGTGCTGGTATTAAAGGTGTGCACCACCACCAACACTGGGCTGAGTGAATGACTCTTAATTGTCCTCCAGCATCCATATGCATGTCTACTTGAGCACATGGGGTTTTTTAAAGTAGGGACTAGTTCTCACTAACTATCTCAATTGAATTGTTTGGGTTTTTTGTCATATGCACATCACTGACTGATTTCTTGGGTTATGGACTTGAATAGTGATGATTTGTTGTTATTACAGGCCTGAAGGGAAAGATTTCAGCATTCATCGGCTTGTCCTGGGAACACACACATCTGATGAACAAAACCACCTGGTGATAGCCAGTGTCCAGCTCCCTAATGATGATGCTCAGTTTGATGCGTCACACTATGACAGTGAAAAAGGAGGTAGGACTCTTCAGGATAGAAGAAGTAATGGTGTATGGGTTATATCTTTC